TATTAAATCTTAGTTAATAAGTAGTCAAACTGCTGTACTTTAACTAGTATATACTAACCAACATGAGAAAAATAAAATGATAAAACGAGCGAGACTTACCAAAAAGGCGATGTACGAGTTCATGGGATACCTCATCCTCTAAATTGTCCTTTGAAACCTTGCTTCTTAAGAAACTCCATGATGCTTGATGTGATCTCAAAATGCTCGTCAATCGACCCATTCATCTTCCCTATCTCTTTATTTTGTGCTTGAATTTCCTCTCTTTGTACTTGAACTTAATAATGACATAGCAATATGCTAAAGTGGCGTTACAAAAAACTGCATGTAAGATTAATACAACTAGGGAGGGGAAGTAAGGAGCAATTTACAGTCAACCTCGGAAGATAAATGAACAGCAAAGTTTGTCGGCAACACATATAATGGCATACCTTATTGGACAATTTAGTGAAATTCGTGATGGCCCTTCAATAATCTCAGAATCTAATATGACAAAGAGAGAGAAAAAAACAATAGTTATTCAAAGCATCACAAAGATATATAATCATCAAAAAACCAAAACAAAATCACTTGGCATAATTTATTTTTTTGTCTCATTCCTTTCCATGAGCATACCTGAATCCAGTGCAGCAACAGCAGGCTGAACACAATCTTGTAGGACAGGACGATCAAGGTTTGAAATCACGCCCATATAGGCAACCACTATGATATAGTTTCCTTTACAAAGACAATAGACTGGGTCAGAGCGCAGATGAATTGCAAGCAACAAAAACAAGAAAGTAAGAGAAAACCTATGTTCAAGCATACCACTAAACTGACCCACAACTTGAAGAAGATTTGTTCCATATTTAAGCATATGCATCACGACAGTTGGAAGCTGTGGACCAGTGTCCTAATGGGGGTGGGGGAAAACACAAAATGTTTGTTACAATTTGCATTCATTGTGCATAATGTTGTCACATAAAATAACTTCCCCAAAACTAAACAAGCACAAACCATGAACACATTAGTCCTTTTATCCACTCCTTTTCCATTTAACAGAAAGCTACAGAAGTTAAACAACAAAAAGCTGGTCAGAATGAAAATGTAATAATTCAACTTAGCCAAAAACAAGGGAGAAAAAAGGTCATACTTCACTTGTGGGGGTGTTGTGATACATGAAGATGTCTCAATATTATCTGTTTGAGCCACAAATAACCGCTGCAGGAAAAACAAAGGCAAACTAACTAAGCAAGCAACCCACTGAGTGCTTTCAATAAATATTTTTTACCATTTAATAGATAGGAAAAATAACAAGATGAGGAATCAAAAAAATTGAATCAGAAAACACTGATATATCCCTGTCACTTCCCAGAGGGCTCCACAACCTACTGATCCCCTTGCCACCCACAATGGACAGGTATTATGGTCTCAATCCATCTGATCATACCGATTATTTGCACAACAGTGTTCATGACAATGCCATAGGAAAAATAAATAAATAAACAAAAACTGAGAAAATTCTTGATAGCCCTGATTGCTTGGAAAAAAACAAATATTGCTCCAATCTACAGTTGCTTCTTGGAACATAAGCAAGACTTATGACATATATATTAAATTAATTACATTAATACATCGAGTACGAAGAAAAGCTACAAATCAGGTGAAAAAGAAAACTGAACTTGGATAATTATGTTTAACAAAAATGGTCCCATGAATTAAGCTAGGCAATAAAAAGTGGTGTGGAAGGAAAGCTGGACAGTGATCCTAAAAGTCAAATGGAGTGGACTTTCAAGGAAAGGTACATAATATTAATTAAGAAGTAGCTTAAGAAGAGAATATTTATAACTTCTTGAAAGATAGAGCCACTGTTTGGTGCAGAAGTAAAATTTCAAACAGTCAAGCATGTCAGCCATTTCACATGATTTAAGCTAGTTCCACATCCATTATAACCCTCAGCCCTTCCAATACCTCAAATACATGGGACGACAGCTACATGATGGCCTTATTTTAAATAATTTCGAGAAAGTAGTAGCATGCATTTCAGCGACACAAGTTTGGTGGGTTTGTCACATAGCAGAATGTTTCCCAATTAAATTAGGTCGAGCAAAGAGGATTATAAATATAGGAACCTTGGTAAAACATTTCCACTGAAATCAAATATATCTCATAAATCACAAAGACTTTGCCTGAGCATATAGAACTTTATTTGTGTTATCCAAAATGGTTTAAACAATACTTACCACTTTATCTTCTGCAGAAGGTTTTGCATTCTTCAAAATATGGAAATCATATGCAAATGTCCCATAGCCAGGCTACAATATAGAACAGAATTATTACCAACTTCTGTTCTTCAAAGTAAATGAATAATTAGGTATGAGAGGAAAAGGAAAAACAACCTTAACTTCAAGAAAAGCAAGTATCTGGCCCATTTTCATTCGTGGATAGAATCTGCGCGCAGAGAGACAATTCTAAGCATATAATTCAGTAATGAATGTAATTAATCATTGGCCAACGATTTAACATCTGTCCATGTGGAAATATTCTTAAAGCATATTGTGTAAAAGAAAACTCAATAAGCTACAAAACCAGAAAATTTCAAAATCATCACACGACCTGGTCTGGAAAATATAAATAGGGTATTTATTTGCTTTTCAATTTGATACACACAAAAAACACACACACAGATCAGAAACAGGTTTCATACAGATACTTGTGACTTAGGCTATACAGATACCAACATCCACAGATGGAAACACACCTAACAGCAGGCTATTATCTGACTTAGTTTTGTCTCTACTTTGGTTAGGGTGTATTTTAACTAGGGTCATGCTAAGTAAGAATTTTGATAATGAATCTATTTTCATTAAATACATCTTCAAACTTGTTAAATCTTAGTTAATAAGTAGTCAAACTGGATGGATATTTGACTTGAATGGATGGTTTAGATTAGTAGTAGTGTTGCTGCATTTGTTTTGTTATTGATAACAAGACCAACACAGATTGCAAGACCAAAATAGAACAGATATATTGCAACAGATATAGATGGATATTTGACTTGAATTGATGGTTTAGATTAGTAATAGTATTGTTGCATTTGTTTTGTTATTAATAACAAGACCAAAACAGATTGTAAGACCAAAACAGACCCAAAACAACACAGATATATGGCAACAGATATATTACAAGACCAAAACAACACAGATATATTGGAAGACCACAACATCACAGATATATCTTGTCCAACCAAAACAAACCCAAAACAATACCAACACAGGTCCAGGACTGGAATAAAAAAAGTTTGCAGGTTGTATACATCTATTGTACGTGTTGTTTGTGCTTTCTAATAGTGACAACACAATCCATTAGTCCACAACCAATCCAGCACAATCCATCATCAATAACTATCTATTAGTCTATCACAATGCAATCCATTAGTCCAGCATCTTAAAGTTCAATTTCAGAAGAAAAAAAATTCAGCAAAAAAGGAATTTTGCACCAAGAAAGTTTTCAGAGAACAGAGTATGCTTTAACTGTTAGGCACTCAAGGTCAGTAAAACTTTTTTATTGAAAACTTTCTCTGCAATTTATTAGAGCAAAACTCAGTTTTCAGTAAGGCACTCATGTTTTCTTTAACTGTTAGGCACTCAAGGTCTAGAACATTCATTAGAGTCTGTTCTTTTGCACCATAGAATTGTATTAAAACAAAGGATTTCATTTTAATAGTAAAATTCAGCAACTTACTGACACTAGATTGGGGAGCTGCCTCCCTCGGTGCCTCTATATCGCCATCAAGTGGTTGTGAGTGTTGGGTCTCCACATTGTCATGTAAATCCCTATTCAGAACAACAATTGCCTCAAGCGAAGGTTGAGGAGATGACTGCACCAATCATTTGGGTGGCATTGGTAAGCCCTAAAAAACATAATACAAAAGCATAAACAATAACTACATAAAAATGGATAAGTAAAGATATGTATATGGAAACTCATCAAGGCCACTGTTGAAAATATGACTTATCAATAATTATGGAAGAGCATTGATCTAGGGTTCAAGTCTTTGCGAAATCTGTATTATTCATTCTTTGAAACATGGCAAAACGATGCAACATGTAGTACCACATTTTTCCCTAACTGGTTGCTTTTGCAGGTTTCTATCTGTGCTGGTGCCTTGTTCAGGAATTTGTTGTTGAGGGCCTACTGATGTGAGGTTACTTTTTTGGATTGGTTTCTATATTCCTAGTTTGAACACTGAAGTTGATGTTATGGAGGTTGCATGTATGATGTATATTTTCTAGTTTTATTTTATGACTTATTCACCCAAAAAAGTATATGGAAATATAAAGATGGTATTAACAAAGCATCATTAACAAATATATAGCTATGAGACATGATAACAAAAGAGAATGGCCATACATGTAGTACTTCATCGTCAACACTTTCAAAGGACTCAGCATCATCAGTGTCATCTTCATGATCTGATGGTATGTAGTCATCATCATCTACCTCAACCCTAATGTTCTTTCCCTTCTGATTAACACGATTGGGCTGAGTAGAACCCATCAAAGAAGCTGCTAAACAGTTCAATTGTAGAGCATCCATTTTCTTTTTATTCTTCTTGATTGTCTTATTTCTTTCCATTTCGTACTCTGTTCACTTTTGTTTCGCTAGAAAACCTGGTTTGAGCCATTGTTTCTCCCCTTTGGCCATTTTGATAACCAAAAAGCATAAATTGATATAAAACATAAAACATAAAGCAGAATATTTACTTAAAGAGACACAACAAAATATAGCATAACTATGTAATGCATTAAAACCATATGTCCATATAGAAACCTAAAAAAAACAAAAACTAAATATCATAGTCCATATCAGGTTCCATATCAGGATCCATATCATCATCAAGTATGCCAAGTTCTTTATCTTTCGTCATCTCTACCATCTCTCTTTGTTTTATTCGGAATAACCTCAGCTTCAATATCATCCCTATGAAATCGAATAATATCTTCAATGTTGATCGGGACAATTTAGTTAATGTTTTCTTGTTGGAATGCATCATTAAATTCTGGTTGATCCTGTGGTTCTCCATCACCAACCTCTGGTACATCAAACACACCCCTATGTTGGACCTGTTGCACGACTTGCCAAGGTTGCCCCCATTTGGTGTCATTCAGGTAGAACACTAGTTTAGCTTGACTAGGCAAGATAAAATGGTCAGATTGATACCATCGGCTTGTGACATCGATGCTTGTGCAATATGTGTCAGCTCTTACTGTTCTACTTCTACCAGTGTTACCGTGTTTGTACCATTCACATTGAAACAAAACAACTTTATTTTGGCACATGTACTCAAATTCCCATATATTGCACAAGTGACCGTAGAATTCGTGCATCTCTCCCTTGTAGTCCCCTTCGGTAAGCACACCACTGTTTTGACTCTTACGACGATTGTCTAATTCCTTCGTGTGGAATCTGACACCATTGATTATACAACCCGAGTACTCTTTCACTAGCAAATTAGGACCATTCGCTAATGACCACAATTCTTCGGTTGCTTCTAGTGCTTCATCAACTCTCAATCTATTTATCTACATCCACATGCAATGTGCAACACTTGAATTATGTTAGTAATGTTTGTGTTTTATACAAGCCTAATAGTGTTTGGGCAATTGTGAATATTAAAAATGACTTACATATTCTTTGAACCACTTCGGAAATTCCTTCTGTTGTATCTGAGTTATATCTTGTCCACTGGGAATTTGTAACAAATTCTTGTGTTCCCTACTCAAATAGTTTTGGTTAATGAGTGAAATACTACTATTATTAATGACTAATAACATGCAAAATGTTAAAATATATATAATTATAAGAAACACGTGCTGAAGATACTTCTCTATCTCAGGGCTATTGTATAATAAAAACCAATGAGTAATATCACGAAGTTCCTGTGACATCTCAACATGCTTTCTGATTTGGCCAATAGGACGAGCAGTTTCAGTGAATATTGTCAAACCTTGACGCCGGACTCCATAATCTTCATTTCGTGCATCTCGATTATGCACGGTTTCAATCCCTTCAAGATACATTGAGCAAAAAGTAATACACTCCTTGACAATGTAAGCCTCTACAATAGAACCTTCTGGTCAAGCTCAGTTGTTGACAAACTTTTTTAAAGCTTTGAGAAACCTTGAAGAGACAACCAATTAGGATATTGGTTAGGCACACAACATAATCTACACCTTTCATTTGAAACTACAATTTTAGAAATTACCTTTCAATCGGGTACATCCACCGATATTGCACAGGTCCTCCGAGAATAGTCTCACGTGGCAAGTGAATGGCCAAATGAACCATTACATCGAAGAAGGCTGGAGGAAAGATCTTTTCAAACTTACATAGTATGAGTACTATGCGTTCCTCTAATTTCTCCATTTCACTTCGTTTGAGTGTCCTTGAGCATAGATCTTGGAAAAAGCTACCTAACTCAAAAACTGCTGTACTGATCTCTTTATCTACGTAACCACGCATCCCAATTGGAAGAATTCATTGTATAAGTACATGACAGTTGTGGATTTTCAATCCTGTTAATCTACCATTTTTTGCATTCACTGATCTCAAAATGTTTGCCGCGTACCCATCTGGATACTTGACTGATTTCAAGAATTCAAAGAAACCCTCTCTCTCTTTAGGGGTCAGTGAGAAGCTACCTCGAGGTTTGACATATGATCCATCGGGACTTTTTGTCAGCCACAATTCTTTCCTTATATTCATATCTTCTAAATCCATTCGTGCCTTATCTGTATCCTTGTTCTTCCCATCAATTCCCAACATAGTTCCAACAACATTTTCACTAAAGTTCTTCTCCGCGTGCATGACATCAATGTTGTGTCGAAGCTTCTTTTTCTTCCAATACAGTAGCTCATATAAGATGCTTACCTTTGTCCAATTTGGGTTCTGACGAGGTCTTTTCCTATTGCTTGGATGTTTTCCATATGTGACACCCGTCACGCTGCCCAATTGTTCTTCAATCTTTTCTATCGGTATCACCAAAGATCTCTTCCGTTTTTCATGCTTCCCATTATATGCTCTATTCTTTTTCCTTTTTAGGTGGTCATCAGGCAAGTAGCATCGATGGTTACTGTACGCAGTCTTACTTCTTAAAGATTCAAAATATGGTTCATCATTGCAAGTGTAACAAGAGTAATGACCCTTTGTTCTCCATCCAGAAATGTCACCAAATGCGGGCCAATCATGTATCATCCACATCAAAGCTGCATGCATGCAGAACGTCTCACCAGTCGAGGCATCATAGGTTAATGCACCATTTTTCCATAATTCATTCAATTCATCCACCAAAGGTCTCATGTAGACATCAATATCAATTCCTGGTTGTGATTCACCAGGAATAAGTAATGACAGCATGAAAAATGGGTCCTTCATAGCCAACCACGGTGGCAAGTTGTACGGAATGAGTACAACAGGCCCACAAACTATATGAGTTATTCATATTTCCGAAAGGGTTGAAACCATCAGTAGCCAACCCTAGCCTCACATTCCGAGGCTCCAAGGCAAATTCAGGATGTTGTGTATCGAATTCCTTCCACTCATCACTATCTGCAGGATGCCTCAATACACCGTCATCTAGACGTTTTTCCTTGAACCATTTCATAACCATTTCATATCCTCGGCTCTCTTCCTCGACATGTACAACCTTTTCAATCTCGGTGTTAACGGGAAGTATCGAAGAACCTTACGAGAGATCTTCTTACCTCTACCATGATTTGTCTTGTATCTAGAAGCCTTACAATTTGGACATTTATCCAATGTTGCATTCCCCTTCCAAAAGAGCACACAATCATTTACACAAGCATCAATGAGCTCGTATGACAAACCCAATTCACGTAGTATTTTTTTAGCTTCATAAGTTGACTTTGGAACCAAATTATCCTTCGGTAAAAGTTTTGTTAAAAACTCTAGCATCATGTCAACTGACTTATTACTCCAATGGTTTGTTACCTTCATATTAAGTATCTCGATGACAAACTGTAACAAAGTGTAATTTGTGCAACCTGGGTACACCTCACGTTTGGCATCATTCAATAATTTATCAAAAGTGCGAACCTCCTCCTCTTGAGTTGTATTAGTTGATTCCCCTCTTATTCGATCTTCCACTAAGGCATCAATACCTCCCAAAACCTCATTGCCCTCAACGGGTATATCATGATGACTAGCCTCATTTGATTCACGGGGTTCCCCATGCACGTGCCAGATAGTGTAAGTTGAATTAGGAGTATGGTTAGGCACACAACATAATCTATACCTTTCATTTGAAAGTACAATTTTAGAAATTACCTTTCAATCGGGTACATCCACCGATATTGCACAGGTCCTCCGAGAATAGTCTCACGTGGCAAGTGAATGGCCAAATGAACCATCACATCGAAGAAGGCTGGAGGAAAGATCTTTTCAAACTTACATAGTATGAGTACTATACGTTCCTCTAATTTCTCCATTTCACTTCATTTCAGTGTCCTTGAGCATAGATCTTGGAAGAAGCTACCTAACTCAAAAAGTGCTGTACTGATCTCTTTATCTACGTAACCACGCATCCCAATAGGAAGAATCCGTTGTATAAGTACATGGCAGTCGTGGCTTTTCAATCCTGTTAATCTACCATTTTTTGCATTCACTGATCTCGAAATGTTTGCCGCGTACCCATCTGGATACTTGACTGATTTCAAGAATTCAAAGAAACCCTCTCTCTCTTTAGGGGTCAATGAGAAGCTGGCTCGCGGCTTCACATATGATCCATCGGGATTTGTTGTCAGCCACAATTCTTTCCTTATAACAAAATGTGATAAAATTCTGCAAAGGAACTTAATAATGTACTTAAGGAGCTATGCATATAAGAAATGAACGATGCTAATAGAATTGATAGCCACATGCGACAATTCCAATGAATGGCCCGAGACTATAATTTAGTACTTATGGCCTGTTACTGCAGTTAGTACTCTGTTTGATTTTCTCTTTACTCAACTATATACGCAGTCCAGAGAAGTTAAAGCAAGATATGCTAATTTAAGGGTGTAATATTCCAATTTTCATTAAATCGATAGTTGTGAGAGAAAAAATAATTAATTAATAACTATTGAGTAAAAACCTATGGATCTAAATTTTTATATAAAACAATGCCCAACTAATACACATTAATATCTAATGAAATGTTTCTAGAGTCAGTCAAATGAGTATGCCATACAGTGTTCCCATTAAGATATTACATAACTAACCAAATATATGCCACCAACATAAGATGTATGAATTTAAAAATAAATTAAAATAAAATGACAGGCCAAGCTATTGTATTGAAATATAGATAACCCCCATTTGCATCCTTAATATAGTGGTTATAGTCACATAACATTGAATAAGACACCATACTGCCACATAGTCATAGTTTAGAATCTGATGCTTCAAAAATCTGGGAAAAAGGAGCTGTGATGGGTAGATATGGTGTGTAGCCTTTAGTTAAGCCTTAGTAATCATGAATGCCAAAAGTGATTGTAAATTGAGTAGAATGGTGACTAAGGAACCATGAAACTAATCCCTAGTAAGTTTACATAGACTTCATCTCGTTGAATCCGAATTGTGTTGCTGAGAAACAGATGACAGTGCAGGATAATACACTACAGATAGCTGGTGCTTTTCCTGGATTCTAGGATTGTCCATTTAATCTATTGATATAAACTTTTCACATTGTAACATCAACAAAACAGTCAAAACAATCATCAAACAGTAGAAGCAACTGTTTGTCAATAATGGTAATGAAAAAATGAAGAATAGTTCAAAAACTTTCCAAATATTAGTCTAGTGTATTAGTGTATTATAATAAAACCAGAATTTTAATGGACTATACACACGAGATCCATATTCAGGACTACGTTAATGTAGTGGTTCAACAAACCAAACTTCAACCCAATAATTAGGATGGTTACATGAGTACTTTACTTCCCCATTTAGCTCTTTGTAAAGCCATATTTTCAGATAAAATAATGTCAGCCTTATCCTTTCTCCTTTTCTCCAATCATCTTCTTTTTTCATTTTCCTTTTTTTAAAAAAAATCAATAACATAATTTATAATAAGAACAAAATAAAAAAAAAATTTCCTTTCCAGAATCGAAGCTGAATACAAATTCCACAAATGTAGATATCATGAAGCAAGAATTGAGATTGGATTTTGTAAAAGAAACAGAACTGTTCTTGTCATATCATAGAATGAGTTCTTGGGCATGTCACAACAGAAAAGGAAAAGTTGACTGCAATTTTAAAAAAATATTAAGTACTATATTACTGCTTTGAGCTATTTTTAAAAGTTGGGAAAAGATAAATATATGATAAACTGATAACAACTTACCAAGGCAGTTAGTTTCCTTCTTATTATGTCTTTATTTTAAACAAGTTTAAACAGGTTGTTTCCGCTAGTTATTTATTCATAGCACCAGGCCAAACTAACCATAGCAGCAGCCAAGCAGCCCCACCAAAGACAGGACATCCAAAAATAAGTAGAAGGACCAACTAAAGACCTATTTTCCTACATCCAGCAGTTAGCACATCCAGGAAATCAAGGCAAATGGGCAGTAGCAAACAAGCAGCTTGAACTAGCAGTGCCATGGACATGGATTACCTAATGGAAGATGGGCTATGAACATGCCTAACAGAAGCATAGATTAACAAACTAAATCCATGTGCAGCTCACATGTATTCATGGGTTCTTATATGGTTGGAACTTGAAGCACACAGCAATAAAGGTTCAATTATCACTGATATATTGTAGTTGATATACTCCCCTCCCCCCCCTCCTTTTTTTTTCTTTCTTTCTTTCTTCTTTATTTTCTTGTGAAAATGTTCTAACACAATCCAAAGTATTGACAAATAAATAGTACATCATTTAGAGTGCTAGCCTAGCATTATCACCTAATAAAGCGATTATATATATATATATATATTTTATGACCAATGTTCAGACTAGTTTACGCGCACCTCAAATAATATCATGAGAAGTACCTAACTTGAGCTAATAACATTGTGGCTGCAGAATTCGGCTCTTATTAGTTGTGTAGAACATGTTCAGATCCTCTAGAGTCCACACTCCGCAATTTCCGTGGAGTAGTTCAAAACAACATCATTTCACTTCAACGGCAAAAAAGAAAAAAGAAAAAAGAGGAGACAGAGGAAGACCAAGAAGAAAATGAGCAGAGATAAAGACTGGAGAAAGCTCTACATTCAAACTAAAATGAATCTCTCAAACTTATCCTAAAGAAACATATAAATCATGGAATGGGTACAGACGAGGGAATGGGAAAATGGGTCTTTAGACAAGATGTTAGTATTGCTTTGCTTGTCATAAGATGCTTTAGAGAATCCCCTATGCTCTCACATTTTATCCTCAGCAGGTTCCTCAACGATGGATTACTAGGGCAATTTGATAATAATTTGGATGCTCTGAGAAGGAATTGTATGAAAATGACAAGTCTACGTGTTACACAGATGTTCTTCATACAGAACTTATAGACAAAGAAAGTGGGCTGAGTGTAGATTCTCTTGCCTGATGATTAGATCTTGCAACATTTTCTTTTCAGTTATGCTAGGTGCACAGGAAGAATTTTACAGAACGGGAATGTGACCCAAAATGTTCACATTGTTGTGAATGTTTTCTCACATTTATGCATTATGTAGAGAATTACCTCTCTCTATGCGATACATGATTGATAATAACCTGTAGATTCAAATTGGAGAAATATTTTGTGCTTATTGTTTAAGGGGGATTTGAACATAGACATGGAGCTTAATATCCATGGTTCCTGATATCACCACTGCACAACAATTGCTAAAATAATAAGATTTTCATCAAATTCTCACGAATAGTTCATTTAATTTCTTTTTGTTTTTGTAAATGGAAGCGTCATTTACCATTATAAGATAATGATTATTTCAGAGCAAGATTAAGAAATGACTTCTGTTTCATTTAACTGAATCAAACATTATCCCAAAGTTATTCCAGTCGCATCCTGAATGTGATGGAATGTAAGTCATAGGATAGCCCTATTCTTGTATAGCCGACCAATTTGACATGAAAGTGCAAAGTGTCATTCACAGCAACAACCTAGTACAACAGATGAATTCCTTGTGTATCCCTCAGTTTTGGGGCATTCACTGTTGCTGTAATTAGTTGCAACTTAATCTGTCCCGTATGGTATGTGGTTTGAAAAAAGAAACCCCGCACGTATAGAGAAGTTTATAGTGATATAAACTATAAATTCGGACATCTTAAATTCGTTTTTTTGAGTAACATACATATACAGCATTAATTCTGAAAATTAATTTCAAAATTTAGGGAAAACATTAATTTTGAAAATTAGGGAAAACAGAGATTGAAAAATAGAGAAATTAAGTGAGAGAGAGGGAGAGAGAAAGAGGAGCCATACCTGATGGAAGAGAACGCACAGCAGTAAAAAGAGGGTAGAAGGTAAGCAAAGATAATTCGAGGACAAAAGGTATACTCTATGAAAGTGAGTGACATACATATGATAACCAAACTTCATATTCACAAAATAGCAAACAACTTTGAAATGAATGTTTAGTCTTAAAAGTGCACTCTGAATTTCCCATATT